GCCATTCAGCGGCACTTGAGTTTCCTGGTATTCAGTCTCTCTCTATTCACCAAATAATGTTTCCTCTTTGGTGGTAAAAGTGAAATGAAATAAAATAGTGAAGGTTATTTCTTTATCAAAGATAACCTCGGTGAGTGGATGTGACGGTTAACTTTATGTGTCAACTTGACGGGGCCAGGAGGTGCCCAGATATTTGATCAAACGTTATTCTGGTTGCTCCTGTGTTTTTGGATGAGGTCAGCATTTGAATTGGTAGACCCCATAAATCAGGTTGTCCTCCCTAGTGTGGGTGGGCCTCAGCCAATCAGTTGAAGACCTGCATCGAACAAAAGGCTGACCTCCTCCCAGGAAGGGGGAATTCCTAACTCTTGAGCTCGCCAGCCTCCAGACTAGAAGTATTCATCATCTCTCCTGGGTCTTTAGCTTGCAACTCACCCTGCAGATCTTGGGACTTGTCAGACTCCATAATTATGTGAGGAGGGAGCCAATTCCTTATAATAAATATCTCTCTCTTTCTCCATATATATAGTAAATACTAGAGGCCCAGTGCACAACATTCGTGCACTGGGGTGGAGAGTGTCTTCTCAGCCTGGCCTGCACCTTTTAGAAGTCCAGGAGCCCTCAGGGGATGTCCGACTGACAGCTTAGGCCCACTCCCCACTGTCAGTAGGACATCCTTAGCACTGCTGGGCGAGGCGGGGTGGGGGGGTGCAGGAGAGGCTCCCTCCACCACCGCTGTGCTTGCCAGCCATCAGCCCGACTTGTGGCTGAGGGGTGCGCCCCCTGTGGGAGCACACTGACCACCAGGGGGAAGCTCCTGCATTGAGCATCTGCCCCGTGGTGGTCAGTGCATGTCATAGCGACTGGTCGTTCCACCATTTGGTCGATTTGCATATTACCCTTCTATTATATAGGATAATATATAATACAATATATACAGGGTGGGACAAAAGTAGGTTTACAGTTGTTCATATGGAAAATAACAATATTAATAAATCATAATGCAAGAATAAGCGATGTTTTGTGTACTGACAACTGTAAACCTACTTTTGCCCCACCGTGTGTGTGTGTGTGTGTGTGTGTGTGTGTGTGTGTGTACTGTAGGCTCTGTTTCTCTAGAAAACCCTAACTAGCACAGTGGACAGATTTTAATATCAACAAATTAAAGGAGAAAAAAAAACCAAACCCAAAGACCTATCCCTTCTCCAGCAAGAAAACCCCCTTTTGGAAGGCTTGGCTATGCAGAATTCATGAAGGATTATGGATTTCTATTAACCAGGGAGAGAAATCAAATTTCCATGTTGAAGAAAGTTCCAGCACTGAGGTCCTACATTTCTGGCAGGCAGGTGCTCTGCCAGGCTTGCTGTACAGTCTGGCGCAGGCAAGGGCAAGACAGAAATGAAAAGTTTTCGACGTGACGACATCATCTCATGGTGATGTAGGAATGACAATAACCAGGACACCTTTGGGAACCCCGGTTGTCGTGATCATGCCAAGGAGGGATGATCCGGGCGATCAGGAGCCAGGGCATTGCTTGATGGAAGTCCACGCTGAGTGAACATCCTTGCTTCTTGCTGATACGACGACAAAGAGGTGGGCTTCTATGTTCAGCATTGACCGTGGGCCCCGCTTTTTATCTCTGCCCCTATCTCCTCCCCTTTCAGGCTTCCTCCTAGCGTCTGCTGCTACACACAAACCTCTTCTCCGTCTCAACTCCACCTCGTCCTTGACGTGTCTTGTTTTCTTTTGTCCAATAAAGGAAGGAGGGTGGAGCTGTGCCTTCTCTGGCAGCCGAACCTCTCCCTCCTTGTAGGCTCCACCTCCCACCTCCCAGGCCGTCCACCATCCAGTGTGGACTACACAGCTCTCACCCTGAAGCTGTTTTTCCATCCGAGGGGCTGACCTCCTTGTTCCTGGGGCTGGAGCCCCCTTGGGGGTGACACTGGCCGGTCTGGGAGTGTATAGCCGTTTTGGTGGCCCGGGAGAAGTCCTCCCACACTGTCGTCTTTTGTCATAAAGGCGACATTAACAACCTCCTGGGAGCACGAACATGGCTGAAGCACAGATGTGCACCGTGCTGGTCACACACGGAGACAGCCTGCACTCACTAGTCGGGAAGCTTTGCTGTCGTTGATGGAAATGACCAGCGTGCAGCGCTCTGCTTCCTGTTCTTGCAGACCAGCGTGACATGTGGACTCCACGGAGCCCCTGTCAGGGTTGCCACATCAATACTGCGCTGTCATTTCCTGGCGGTGAACAATGACCCCACATTGGCTCAGGATGCTCACTCGGGGTCCTTCCCGCGCCAGCTCAACCAGGCCTCAAACAGCAAATGCACAGCCCGCCCGGCGTGGCTCAGGGGCTGAGCATCGACCTACGAACCAGGAGGCTGCTGTTCGACTCCCGGTCAGAGGACGTGCCCGGGTTGTGTGCTCGATCCCCCAGTAGGGGGGCGTGCAGGAGGCAGCCTGATCAATGATTCTCTCTCATCATTGATGTTTCTCTCTCTCCCTCTCCCTTCCTCTCTGAAATCAATAAAAATATGTATTTTAAAATAAAAAAAAGCAAATGTACAGCTAGTCAAGCTTTTGGAGAAGATGAGTAAGAACAAAGCCAGTGTGGTTTACTGGAAATAAACCTAGGAGCATAGTTACACTGTTTTTTTATTATTATTTTACATATATATTTTTTTTTATTTCAGAGAGGAAGGGAGAGAGATAGATAGAAACATCAATGATGAGAGAGAACCACCGATTGGCTGCCTCCTGCACATCCCCCACTGGGATGGATCAAGCCGGCAACCCGGGCATGTGCCCCTGGCCAGAATCGAACCCGGGACCCTTCAGCCCGCAGGTCAACGCTCTATCCACTGGGCCAAACCGGCCAGGGCTACACTGTTTTGTTAGTACAGGAAATGGCCCCACCCACTTCCCACTTCGTTGTTACAATCCTATAGGTATGTGTCTTCCTGTCCCTTCCCTCCCTGACACTATGAGGTGGGGAAGGTGTCAGCAGCTGCCTCCATTTTCCATAGCCACTGACCAGCCTGGCCACATAACACCGTCTACTGGATACCACCACAAACTCTCAGCCGCCCAGCTAATCAGCCGTCTTTCTAGATTTTTTTCCACTGATGTGACTGGTGTTCTTGGCCATGGCGCTCATTTTCAGTCCCTCAATTTCCTCATTATTTAAGTGAATTGAATGACCGATCCAGGTTGAATTTTGCTTCCTTCAGAGAGAAAGTGTTATATCAGTGCAAAATAAATGTCTTCAGATGTCTATTGGAAACAATTAGACTTCAGTAATTCATCAGATATCTAACATTTATTTAATGTCTACTTTGTGTATATCATGGAATTATGTGCTTATTTAAGGGAAGGTTTAGCAACAGATGCTAGATAGCCCTAGCTGGTTTGGCTCAGTGGATAGAGCATCTGCCTGCAGACTGAAGGGTCCCGGGTTCGATTCTGGTCAAGGGCACATGCCTGGGTTGCGGGCTCAATCCCCAGTAGGGGGCATGCAGGAGACAGCCGATCTATGATTCTCTCTCATCATTAATGTTTCTCTCTCTCTCCCTCTCCCATCCTCTCTGAAATCAATACAAATATATATTTAAAAAAAAAAACAGATGCTATATATATTGCTCAGGAAATGCGTGTCTCTGAAAAGTTAATAACAGTAGTTATTCCATATTTTCAATGACAAATGCCTATTCAATATTTGTTTCTTTTTAAACAATAAGAATTTAAATGCACCCAAGAGATAAAAAGCAAACGACTTCATTCAGCTGTCAGGTTTTGCAAGGACTAGATACAGTTAGCGCTACACAATGAGGCCCTTCCTCTCCCATGCTCCTTCCTGTGTTCAGTGCAATAAAGACAACAGACTCTCTAAGTTCACAGGCCTCTAAATTCTATTTCTGCGCGTGCCGCCGCCATGAAGGATTTCTCAGTTTCTTTGTTGCTTTCCCCTTGGCACCCAGTTTCTTTTTGGCCAAGTATCTTAGCAGAGCATTCCTGTCTGTGGGCCAGGCCATTTGTGTTCAGCGGGCACAGATACCTCCCAATCGCCCTCCTATCTTCACTCCAGTGGTGTTTTTTTTTTAATTGCTCACGATTTTAGAAACACCCTAACCTCGGCATATTAAATATTAAGGGACTCCAGATTCCCAGAGCCTTCACGTTACGCCGTGCAGAGCTGCGCGAGTGCGTTTCCATGGTGCCGGGTAAACGTTATGGCCGGGTTTTGCGAGCATCGTTGCCGGAAGCGCCTCTCCCGCCACTGCCTGGCACCGGGCGGGGGTGGGGGGGGCCCTCGCTGTGAAATATTTTGGAAACAGAGCTGAAGCGGCGATAACGCAGAGCGCGAACAGGCGGAAATAAGAATAAACGGAGCGTGGCTGGCCGACCGTGAGGGGCTGGCAGCTTCTGCAAAGGAAGAGGAGGCGTGGTCAACCCGGAGGGCAAACCACGCGGGGGCCGTTGTTTAGAGACCTCCGGAGGTCGTTTCCTTCCCCGCCTCGGGTAGGGGGAGCTCCCCGGGGCCGAGGAAGCAGCCCCCCCAAAACCGTTTCCGGGATCGCAGCCTCTCCCCTCCCGCCCCAGCAGCAGTGCCTTCCCAGGCCACGATTCCCCGCGACCCAAAAATAACCGCACAGATGTGAGGACCAGGGCCAAGGCCCGCGCTCGGGGCGGTGCTCCGTTACCGCCTTATCGCTGACAGCCAGCGCCTGGAAACATAACCCCGCGCCAGCCTTTTATACCGGGTCCCTGGAGCCCCGCCCTAGCAACCGCCCCTAGCAACGCCTCGCCCGGGCGCTCCGCGCGCTATCGGCCTCGGCCAGGCTCTTCCTGTTCCCCTCCCGCTGCCAGCTGGGCTCGGCGGCCGGGATCACGTGACCTGCCCCAGGGGAGGGGCGGGGCGAGCGGAAGACCTGAGGGGCGGGGCGCCGGGCGGCTAGGGGACGTCATCAAGAGGCGCCCGGGCCAGTTGTGTCGCAAGGCCCGGGGAGTCTTTGCTTCCGGGACTGGGTGAAATGGCGGAGGCGGCGGTGCTCGTGTGGATTCGCGGCCCCGGCGTTGGGTGCCGGGCGGTGCGGGATGTCTCGCCCGCATGCTCCGTCCAAGACCTTATCCACCGCCATTGCCAAGACCAGGTGAGGTTCGCGGTTCCCGGAAGGAGGGGGAAGGAGCCGGACAGGGGAGCGGGTGGGAAGCCAGAGGGTCTGGAGCACTGGTTCTCAACCTTCCTAATGCCGCGACCCTTTAATACAGTTCCTCATGTTGTGGTGACCCCCAACCATAAAATTATTTTCGTTGCTACTTCATAACTGTAACTTTGCTACTGTTATGAATCGTCATGTAAATATCTCATATGCAGGATGTATTTTCATTGTTCGCGACCCACAGGTTGAGAACCGCTGGTGGCGTGTTGGTTCTTTGGGGCCTTCGGTTTTTTAAGGCTGAGGGTTCCTCAGTTCTAAGGTGCTTCAAGCTGATGCTGAGGCCTCCCTTTGCTTTTTGTGGTGGTGGTGGTGGTGGTGCTGTTCTCACCCCACAGAAAAGGGGAAAACTCCGCTCACGACGCCTAGTCCAGCCCTCAGTCCGGACTAACGGGAAACACTTTGGGATTCCGTATTTTCATTCCTAAATGGGGCATTTGGACCGGATGACTTTTGAGGCTCATTTTGCTACATTCATTCTGTGATTGTTGGATATAGTCACATTCTGTCCACAGATCAAACATTCCAATGAACAACCTAGAGGGGAAGTATTTCCTATCCGGACCCAGGCCAAAGGATGGTCGGGGAGGGGAATGGATTCACCTGGTCACTCACTGGTTGGGACAGCCCAACACACGTGTCTGTTGAGGGTATGGATTCTTGGCTTCTTAGGGCCCGTCATTTAAAAAAAAAATTGATTTCAGAGAGGAAAGGAGAGAGAGAGAGAGAGAGAGAGAGAGAGAGAGGAAGGAAGGAAAGAAAGGAAGAAAGAAAGAAGGAAAGAAAGAAAGAAAAGAAAGAAAGAAAGAAAAGAAAGAAAGAAAAAGAAAAGAGAAACAAACATCAATGGTGAGAGAGAATCATTGATGGGCTGCCTCCTGCACGCCCCACACTGGGGATCGAGCCCACAACCCCAGCAGGTGGCCTGACTTGGAAGCGAATGGTCGGTCGACGCTGGTGGAGCAGAGCCTGGTATTTAGATGTTTTTACGAATCAATTGATAGTCTCATTTGTCCCTGCATGTATTTGAAAACCTATGTTGACTTGTAAAGTTACATGTGTGGTTTCCTTAATTATTAAGCAAGCAAGCTTTTGCCAACTAAGATATGAAACCTGTTCAATTATCTGAAGAATAACTGAATGGTCTCCCTGAATCTAATTTTAATGTTGGCTCTTGGTATAGTATTGTTTTTCTTTTTTTAAGTTATTTTTATATATTTTTATTGATTTCAGAAAGGAAGGGAGAGGGAGAGAAAGAAACATCAATGGTGAGAGAGAATCATTGATTGGCTCCCTCCTGCACACCCCACACTGGGGATAGAGCCCACAACGGAGCCCACAACCCAGGCATGTGCCCTGGTCAGGAATTGAACCTAGGACCTTTCAGTCCACAGGCCGATGCTCTATCCACTGAGCCAAACCCGGGCTAGGGCTTGTTTTTCTTTATAACCACACCGCATCGTTGCTTCCTTAGGCTGTTTCCTCTGCTCGTCGTTTATAAGCTTCACACATGTTACGCCACAGTCTGAACCAAATCTTGGACCAGTTCCATGGAAAAGCAGTGTGTGTTTGCAGATAACGTGGTTTTTCAGCTTTCCCCTTTTTCTTCCTACACTGCAATCTAATAAAAACCAAAAAACTGTCAGAGCTGTTTTTGACCCTCTGAATGGGGAAATATTTTCCAAAATAGTGAGATTTTTTTTTTCATTAAGCATTCCATATTTATTTTTCAATAGTTTATTTTTGGTTTTTATTTAATGTTTAAATCGGGATTGTTGAAAGTGTTACATATGTCCCCGTTTTTCTCCCATTGACCCCGTCTAGCCCACCCCCACCTCCTGCCCCAGGCCTTCACCACCCTATTGTCTACGCATATACGCACACAAGTTCTTTGGTTGATCTCCCCCCTCACCTTCCCTCTGACCCAAATAGTTGGATTTTAATATCTCTGATAATAACTCTTATCTCGTGAGTAGTTTTCAAACTTAGAATTGATCCAAGGTGCGACCAGAAGAAAAAAAGGCACTTAATGTTTGTTGAATGAATGAATGGTTCCCATTGACATAGCGGAGTGGTATGGCTCAGAATGCACGTTCCTAGTGTCCACTTCAGGAAGAGGCCAGTGATGCACTTGTCCTCTCTGTTGGGGTTGAGATCGCTTCTTCCTTGACGTCGTAAATTTAATCGTGTGCTTCCTAAGTCCCGTGTCACTTGGGAGAACACTTCTCTATTGTCCTTAGTTTACAGCATTGAACACTGGCTCGGAAAGACTTAACAGTTTTTAGAATTTCCTTTCATCACTTGCTCTGAGAACACACAGAGTGGCTCTGGGGGCGCTTGGGCTTCTGCAGTGATTGGCTGTAATTCAGGGGGGATGCCAGCAGGACAGACAAGTGCTGGCTGCCAGTTGGTCCTAAAACCGCTGAAGCTTATATAGGGATATTGAAAACCAGACCCTTGTCTCCTTCCTTCCACTCTTCTTGTCCTTTTACCTACACTTTTCAGGATGCATAATTTCACTTTTAAACTTGGGGACCACTCATGATTTTATTTTCACCCAAAAGACAAAAACAACTTTTTTATATCGTGATTAGGTATCAGGAAAAAATTGTATGCAGAATACATCATATGCAATGATTTTTTTCTTTTGGATTTATTTATTTATTTATTTATTTATTTTTTATTATTTTTTAATATATATTTTATTGATTTTTTACAGAGAGGAAGGGAGAGGGACAGAGAGTTAGAAACATCGATGAGAGAGAAACATTGATCAGCTGCTTCCTGCACACCCCCTACTGGGGATGTGCTTGCAACCAAGGTACATGCCCTTGACCGGAATCGAACCTGGGACCCTTCAGTCCGCAGGCCGATGCTGTATCCACTGAGCCAAACCGGTTAAGGGCTATTTTTTATTTTCAATTAAACAAGTATTAATTGAACACACTGCCTGCTTGTCACTGGAGTGATAAAAACACAATAAGCTAGGACCCTTCCTGCAAAGCACTTGTATTGTCTCGTGAACAGCATTTTTAACAGCCCCGTTTGTCTCCAGGGTGTCCCCGTGGAGTGCTTCTTCGTGAAACGCAACGGCTCGCTGGCCGATGCCGGTGACCCAGTGCAGCATGGAGCTGTTTACAGTTTGGAGCCCAGACTTCGTGGTGGGAAAGGAGGTAGGACATGCGTGTCGCCTGCGTGCCGAGCTGTGTCACCTCTGCAGGTGCCTTAAACGAAGAGACTCCTTGGTCCCTGTGCTGGGCCAGCCTTATGTTTTGCCTTATGAAGTCCTTTACTTCCCTGGTTTCGAATGTCTTCTCTGTTGTTCTTTTTTTTTTTTTAATATATATTTTATTGATGTTTTACAGAGAGGAAGGGAGAGGGATAGAGAGCCAGAAACATTGATGAGAGAGAAGCATTGATCAGCTGCTTCCTGCACACCCCCCACTGGGGATGTGCCCGCAACCAAGGTACATACCCTTGACCGGAACCGAACCCGGGACCCCTCAGTCCACAGACCGATGCTCCATCCACTGAGCCAAACCGGCCAGGGCTCTGTTGTTCTTTTGGAGGGAGATGCTGTGTGATATAGTTCCCACCTTCTCCAGCTGGGTAGCTCCTAGGCACCCGAGGCGCTGAAGCTCTCGGGAAGATGGATGGAGAGAGATGGCCCTTCTTCTGTCCAATTTGCTGAAGAAAGCGTGTAAAACATCCAAATCCGCTTTTATGAAGATTTGGTCTCATTACTGTATTTCCAAGGGAGGTCTTAAGTCACTTTATGAAATAAACTGCTTATGTGTTGGGGGAGATTAAGGTCCCGGTGGTATTAACACATCTAAGAAAAGAGAAGGAACTAGATGAGCAAAAACTAAATATACACAGTTCTTAGTCTTTCTCCTGATGCACTAAGATGCAATCCCTAAGCTTTCTCAAAATCTACCGTGATTTTTAGAGAGCGGACATCTCAGATTATAATCATCCTGCTGTTTGGAATTGTGGCAGTAAGAATGAAGTGTGTGCTATCAGCCAGGGACACCTTCAAATTGCCTTTCCTTTTAAACTCACTATAAAATCTCACCCTATGCTTTTTAAACTTCCTCATCTGGGAATCTTGTGTTTTTTTGGCACTGGGTACAGGCCTTTACAATATCTCAGTGGTGCAGGTGCAGTATTTCAGAAATAGAAGAGGAAGCAGGGAAGGCATGAGGTTGAATCAAGTTCACTTTTACCTTTGTTCCCTGGGTTCGAATCTTGGTGTCCATTTCCTTTATTAAAAGAGAAAAAGAAAGCAGAGATCACCTTTGATCTTGTGCTGCATCACTGTGTCCACGAGTTCAGCACTTCCCATCCTGAATGCTTTGTAACCCACTCTCCCCACATATCTCTGCTCAGGCTTCGGGTCTATGCTCCGAGCCCTCGGTGCGCAGATTGAGAAGACAACCAATCGAGAAGCTTGCCGGGACCTCAGTGGGAGGAGACTACGAGATGTCAATCATGAAAAAGCGTAAGAGGCCGTTTGTGTTTGTTTTTCTAAAATACATTTTTATTGATCTCAGAGAGGAAGTGAGAGGGAGAAAAAGATAGAAACATCAATGATGAGAGGGAACCATTGATCGGCTGCCTCCTGGGGGGCGAGCCCGCAACCTGGGCACGAGCCCTGACCGGGAATCGAACTGTGACCTCCTGGTACATGGGTCGATGCTCAACTACTGAGCCACACCAGTCAGGCTGTTTTTTTTTTTTTTTTTTTTTAAAGAGAGAAACATACTTTTCTATCAGTGGCGATGATACATGCGCCATGCATATCAGAAATATAAACTTGTGTTCTGATTTATTGTTATCAGATGTTACCTTTTCCATACATTTTTTTTAAATATATTTTATTTTTTACAGAGAGGAAGGGAGAGGGATAGAGAGTTAGAAACATCGATGAGAGAGAAGCATCGATCAGCTGCCTCCTGCACACCCCCTACTGGGGATGTGCCCGCAACCAAGGTACATGCCCTTGACCGGAATTGAACCCGGGACCCTTCAGTCCACAGGCCGATGCTCTATCCAGTGAGCCAAACCGGCTAGGGCACCTTTTCCATAATTTAATAGTTATCTCTAGGTCTCGGTTAAGTCCATGGCAGTATGCTGGTAGTAAGCGTGGCACACCTTCCTGAGGGGACAGCACAGTCTGAGCAAGAGTGCATTGCTTTGTTGGGGGGAGGAAATGCATATAAGAGAGCCATTCAGTGACATCTCGTTCTCTCCCCCCGCAGGATGGCTGAGTGGGTGAAGCAGCAGGCTGAGCGAGAAGCTGAGAAGGAGCAGAGGCGCCTGGAACGGCTGCAGCGGAAGCTGGCGGAGCCCCGGCACTGCTTCACCAACCCCGACTACCAGCAGCAGTGCCACGAGATGGCCGAGCGCCTGGAGGATTCCGTCCTCAAAGGTGAGGGGGAGGGTTCCTTGGTGTGGGCAGCAGGCGCCCTGAGGCCAGCTGTCCCTGACTGTCCCACGGCACACAGAGAGGTTCTTCAGTGTTTTGGGGTCACAGACCTTTGAGAAGCTCTCTGTTGTTGTTAATCCTCATCCAAGGATATTTTTCCATTGATTTTTTCTTTTCTTTTCTCATTTTTCTTTTTTTTCCCATTGATTTTTTACAAAAATGTTTTTATTGATTTTTACAGAGAGGGATAGAGAGTTAGAAACATCCATGAGAGAGAAACATTGATCAGCTGCCTCCTGCACAACCCCTACTAGGGATCAAGCTTGCAACCAAGGTACATGCCCTTGACCAGAATCGAATTCGGGACCCTTCAGTCCGAGGGCCAACGCTGTATCCACTGAGCCAAACTGGCTAGGGCTCCATTGATTTTTACGGAGAGGAAGGGAGGGGGCGAGATAGAGAGAAACATCGATTGGTTGCCTCCCGCTCGGGGCCCTGACTAGGGCCGGGATAGAGCCTGCAACCAAGTTATGTGCCCTTGACCGCAATTGAACCCGGGACCCTTCAGTCCATGGGCCAGTGCTATACCCACTTAGCCAAATCGCCTAGGGCCGGACCTCTGAGATCTGATGAAAGCTGTGCAACCTCTCCCCTCAATCTTGATCACAGTGTATCTTACAGCCCAGAAGAAAAAAAAAGACCCCAAACCCACATAACGTTTGGTATCCTTAATGCCTGACTCCGTGGGCCCCAGTTAAGAACAGTCTTTGTGCTTCGTCGGGATGTTAAGTCTTTAGGAGGTGCCAAGAGCTGAACACATTTGCTTCCGGTTTTAGGTTAGTTTTTTTTTAATGGTTTTTAGTGAGAATGATTGCCATGAACTTTTATTAGAATCCAGAGCATTATGCTAGGGCAATTGTGGGTACAATTGAATAAGAAGGAATCTTTCCTGTCCAAAAGGTTCTGACACAACAAGGGAAAGACAAATGCATGCAAATGATTAGGTGTGGGGAGGGCGAGGCCCGACCCTGTGGGCCTCAGAGTGGACAAGTTGGTCATTGGTGCTTTAAAATGCTGGTTCCAGGTCCAGAACGCTTCCTGCTTTACATCGGTGTAAATTTGAGGTTAATCTCGTTTTCACCATCTTGAATATGACATCTCACGAAATTTAAATCTAGAGCTCTAGATCGCAGCTCTTGTTGCAATCTGGATTACTTGGAGTCTTCCATTAGCCTTAGTCCAGAGAGTAGACACCGAGCTGTTAACATTTCTGGCCAGGTATGCAGGCTTCCTCCAGCAAGGTGGTGTCAGCAGAAGTGGGGGAGACTCGCAAGCGGCCTCACAAACCAGAAGCAGACGGAGGACCCGGTGCCCCGAAAAGGAAATGCTTTTGGTAAGTGTGTTTCATTTTCATTCCAAATGGAGCTTTGAGGACTGCCCTGGGCCATGGCCTCCGTGTCTGTCTGGGATAAACACATCTGTAAGTGATGGCCCATGGCGGCTCCGACATCTTCCCGCTGCTTCAACCTCCAGAGTTCAGTGATTCTCACATTGTGCACACCCGTGATGGTTTCTGCTGTGAGCGCCATTCATAGAACCTCAAGGACAATACGTTTCCGTCCACGAGAGATCACACAAATTGCTTTAGACTTGAATTACTATTTGGTGTGGAAAGGGTTAACTTTCAATAACCCCGAGTGGAAATGCCAGAGCTGTGCTTTGCAGGTGGCTCTGATTTTTTTCTGGGGTTTTTCAAGGTCATAATCGAGGCCTTGGGTCCCTTTGCCAGACCTTTGCCTTGCACTCATAGGTCAAGAGCACAACAGGACTTTTCTTATCCTTTGTTCTGCGAGCTCTCCCGCCCTCCCCAGCTGGTCCTTCGCTTTCCAGCTCAGTTCCCTTGGGCCATGTTCTAGATAAGTCCAAATGGATCTGGCTTCCTTGTGGACCTGCCCTTAGGGACAGAAAGATAATCATTAACCAAAGACCGTGTAACTCTGAGTCCAGCAGGGAATGTTATGTGTTCTTTCTGAAATGGGAGTGGAATCCTTTGGGAGAAAAGGCATTGTGTGATTCTTCTAATCGGGTTTATTGAGGTATAATTTACATTCAGTAAAACTAACCTTTTTTCGTGGAACAGTTCTCATAATTTAAAAAAATACAGCCACGTAACCACCACCAAAATCAAGACACAGAATCTTTCCATCACCCTAAAAATTCCCCGTGTGCCCCTTTACAGTTAATTCCCTTCCCCTACCCCCCACCCCTGGCCAACTCCGATCACTGGTGCAATGTTTTAATTCTGTCCATCTCAGGTTAGATATTTTTATTCAGCCAGGGTCTGATCCCTGCTCAAACCGCAGCTCCTTTCAAGTGGAAGCTGTAAGTCAGGGGTCCTCAAACTTTTTAAACAGGGGGCCAGTTCACTGTCCCTCAGACCGTTGGAGGGCCGGACTATAGTTTAAAAAAAAACTATGAACAAATTCCTATGCACACTGCACTTATCTTATTTTGAAGTAAAAAAACAAAATGGGAACAAATATAATATTTGTATTTGCATGTGGCCCGCGGGCCGTAGTTTGAGGACTCCTGCTGTAAGTGGTGGTGAACCTTTCTGTGGTTTCTGACAGGCTGGGCGTGGAAGGACTGGAGGCTGTGGAGGGGTCCGGCTCTGACAGCTCAGATGACGACAGTGACGAAGCCCCTGGCACCTCAGGAATGAGCTCGCCTGTGCCGAGCAGTGACAGTGCTGGAGCGGAGAGGGCAGGCGGGGTTCCCAGGAGTCCTCAGAGGGCAGGAGCGCGGAGTACAGACTGTAGCTCACCAGAACTTCCGAGCCCTGGGGCTGGCCCTGGGAACGGTATTTCAGACGACCCGTGTGCCCCGCAGGGGGACACATCTGCCCAGGAGCGTGTGGAAAGGAAGGTGGCTGCAGAAACACAGACAGCCCCGGAGGAAAAGGAGGCCGAGAGCAGAGGACCCAGAGAAGCAGCAGCAGCCGGGCCCGGGCTGAATCAGGAGAAAGAGACAGAAGAAGTGACTGATGGGGATCGAGCGGACAGGGCAGCACCTGGACAAGACGGGGAGAGCCTTCCCAGCATCAAACGGGGGGACCAGGCAGGAAGCACAGTAAGTAATCGGGGTCGTGTCTGAAGCCAAGTCCGTTCAGCCTCCACAGTGAGTCAGTGAAATGAAGGTGCTTTTCCCGTCAGCTGCTTAGTGGGAAGGCTCGTTCCATAATCAGAAGTGATGTACAGGTTGATGGTGAAGCTGGCCCTGTCCCCCTAAAAATCCTTAGACTTTTTTTTTAGCTCCAGAATTTGTTGTGGGTTTTTTTGCCACTAGGTGGTGTCCTTTCATTAATTCTGTGGTTTTCACATTTTAATCTGAATTTGGATGTATATCCCAAATTATAGCATAATTGTGTTATTTATTCTTTCTTAGTAATACATTCAATAGGAAGCCATGTGAAGGTAGATGGTATTTTAGGTTTGATGAAAGGAGCCTGTTTTAAGTGTTTTCTCTGTTGTGTTCTTCTCCCCTCAGGCTGGGGGTCAGGAACCTGTAGATTTGCTGGCCTTCAGCTCCGTGGCAGAAATGGAGTCGCTGGGTCTGGAGAAGCTCAAGTGCGAACTGATGGCCCGGGGGCTGAAGTGCGGGGGCACCCTCCAGGAGCGGGCCGCCCGGCTCTTCTCCGTCCGGGGCCTGGCCCAGGAGCAGATCGACCCCGCGCTGTTCGCCAGGCCCCTGAAAGGGAAGAAGAAGTGACGCCCGCGCTGATGTCCTGGTTCCTTCCAGTCTAGCACTTACAACCCGCACAACGCTGACTCGGCCGTTATTCCTGTTGACGCTAACGCTGGCTTTTTCATGCGCCGGTTCTCAACGCCCGCTTTCCCATTGTGGCACTTAGAGAATTAATGGGTGAAACCCTCTGAGCCTGACTCTGTGGGGAGGGTTTCTAATAACAAATTTAATTTAATAAACATATAACTCTTCCGATTTCTGGTAAGTTATGTTTTCAAGGAATTTGTTCATTTGACCCAAGTTGTCAGATGTGTAGGTGTCTGTAGAGGTCGCAATGGTAACTTTCTTTTCACCTGAGGTTTTTTGTTGTTTTTTTCATCTGAGTTTTTAAATGATTTCCTGAAAGGGAGAAAGCCATACCATCATTCTTTCACGGTATTAGCAGGGTCCTCTGTTTAAGTATGGTTATCACATAGACAATAGCAAGTCAATGAAAGGTTCTGGGCAAAGCTGGATGGTAATAGTCCTTTAGGAAGTCACGTGGCTATTCAAAGAGATCACAGGGCTTAAAGTCTTAGCGAAAGGGAAAACATTTTCTGTGATCCCAAATTTTGTTGAAATTGGCCAGCTAGATTCAGTGGGGGCAGGTGGGAGTTTGTAAGAGTGAGTGAAATACGTACGCTCAACGTTTGGCCTAATCTTTCCGAGGGTGGTACAAACTGCATTTCATCTTAGATGCGTGGAATTGGCTCAAGTTGCAAGAAGAACTGTATTTTTTCCTTATTATGATCTTTTAGTAATACTTTGGACACTTGCCTTGTTTCATGATGATAGTAACGACCGAATGAAGGCATTGCTCTTTGTTTTTCTTGGTTTCTCTTCATTGGAACTATATCTGAACTCCCCTCCACTCCCTTTTCTGTAAGGTTTTAAGTTTTTATTTGGGCCCAGATATCATTCTGCGACATGGTCTGGCCAATACTTTCATTGTTTTTATGTCTCCTGGTATTCTTACAGTGGTTTCTTTCTTTGTTTTCTCCTGGTATTCTTACAGTGGTTTCTTTCTTTGTTTTTTTATTGATTTTTATAGAGGAAGAGGGAGGTTCGGAGGGAGAGAGAGAGAGCGCGAAAGAGAAACGTCGATGTGAGATCGGCAGTCTCTTCCATGCTCCCAACCAGGGATCAAACTCGAAACCTGGACATGTGCCATGACTGGGAATTGAACTGGTAACCTTTTAATGCCCAACCAACTGAGCCACACCGGCCAGGGTTCTTTCTTTTTTTGTGTGTGTGTATTTTTTTTTTAATTTTAAAATTTATTTTGGGGGGGGGTGTCTTTTTTTCAAAACTGGATACACTTTCTGAACCCTCACAATCTGACAATGATTTTCTGTTGCCTATGCATATGCAATACCTTGTCTTTTCCTTAAACAATAGACATTTGCTATTTTCTGGCATATGGTTTTGTGGAAGAAAAGCTTTATGCCCATTTTGAGTTTCTTTTTTTTAGTGTATAAAATGGGAGTTTTCCTCCTTAGACACTTCAATATTTTTCCTTTGTCCTTCAAATTAAAAATGTCACCAAGAACTCTAGCCGGTTTGGCTCAGTGATAGGCGTCAGCCTGTGGACTGAAGGGTCCTGGGTTCGATTCCCATCAAGGGCACGTACCTCGGTTGCAGGCTTTTCCCCGGCCTAGGCCCTGGTCGGGGTACATGCAGGAGGCAACCAGTCGATGTGTTTCTCTCACATCAGTGTTTCTCTTTCCTTCTCTCTTCCAGGCTCTCTAAAAATCAATGGAAAAAATATCCTTGAATGAGAATTGAAAAAGAACACATGTCCCCAGATTATTTCTAGGTCTGGTCTCTTCCTCAATATTTCTTCGTATTGGGAGACCCTTTTGAGGTCTGAAGACTAGCCTTTTATTTTAAACTATCGTTTTCCTATTACTTAATTGATTATTGCTTTTATTCTCTGTCCGGTTCTCATGGAACCTCATTTTCTGTTGTATCCAGTTTGCTGTTTGCCATTCCTCTTGTGTCTGTCAGTTCAGCAGTTACGTTTTTCCCTTAAAAAAACCTTTCTCGCCAGAACCGGTTTGGCTCAGTGGATAGAGCGTCGGCCTGCAGACTGAAGGGTCCCAGGTTCGATTCCGGTCAAGGGCATGTACCTTGGTTGCGGGCACATCCCCAGTGGGGGGCGTGTAGGAGGCAGCTGATCGATGTTTCTGGCTCTCTATCCCTCTCCCTTCCTCTCTGTAAAAAATCAATAAAATGTATTTAACAAAAAACAAAAAACAACCTTTCTCAACAGGCCTGTGTAGCTCTGTGGTTGAGTGTCGACCCATGAACAGAGGTCCCAGGTTTGATTCCTGACCAGGGCACATGCCCCGGTTGTGGGCTTGATCCCCAACAGGGGGCATGCAAGAGTCAGCTGATCTATGTGTCTCTCTCTCTCTTTGGTTCTATCTCTGTCCCTCTCCTTCCTCTCTCTCTAAAATCAATAAAAACATATTTTAACAACAAAAACACCTTTCTCTCAGATGAGTCCCTCTTCCTGCTTGCTTCTGTTTTTTTAAAAAATATATTTTTATTGATTTCAGAGAGAGAGACAAAAATATCATTGATGAGAGAGAATCATTGATTGGCTGTCTCCTGCATGCCCCCTACCGGGGGTCAAGCCCACAACCCAGGCATGTGCCCTCCACCGGAATTGAACCTGGGACACCCCCCACCCCCACTCCGAAGGCCAGTGCACTATCCACTGAGCAAAACGAGCCAGGGCTTGCTTCTGTTTTCATCGATGTGTTCCTTTGAAACTGGGTGTGTATATGTTTTAAGGACGTGGTATATCTTGTGATCCCTCAAATTGATGACAATTATTCCTTTTTGAAGGATGTCCGAATGTGCATGAATGGAGGCCTGGGGTGGAATTAGGTGTACGAGGGGTTTGTTGGGACAAGGGGAGTGGGCAGAAATGGGGGGATTGAGGAGGAAGAGTCTGCTGGAGTGTAGTTTCAAGGGAGGTTCAGCCAGGTAGCCTGGGCATTTGAGAACAGCTTTCTTCAAATGATGTGGCCATCTGCACTTTTTAAAAACATGTTTTTACTGATTTCATAGGGAGAGGGAGAGAAACATCAAGGATAAGAGAGAATCACTGGTCCGCTGCCTCCCGAAAGCCCCCCACTGGGGATCGAGCCCCGAAACCCTGGGCATGTGCCCTCATCAGGATTTGAACCGTGACCTTCCGGTTCATAGGTCGGCCTTCAACCACTGAGCCACACCGGCCGGGCTGTGCAGGTCTTAACGACCACGCTCAAAGGGGGAAGGGGAGCGTTCAGATTTCGGGGAGGTTTACTTGGCCAGATCAGAGGTTCCTTCACTGTGCGCGTTTTCCTGTGGCGGCAGCTTGCTGTGGCCGGGCCAGCGCCCCTTCCCTAATTGGCACCGTGAGGCCCTTCCATTTGCTCTCCTGCTGTGCCCTGCCTCCTTGACCTTGACTGGCAGTGAGAAGACTGCAGTTCTGTAAGTGCTCCTTTCCTGTAACATTAAAGGCTGGGAGCAGGGAGGGTCACGCCGCACAGAGACGGGCCACCTCGCCATCCTCCCGTGCGGCTGTCGGGCCAGCGCTCACGGGTCCACGCGCCGGGGTGTTCGTGGGCTGCTGCTGTGGGTCCATGTCACGTGCTGACACTTGGATCTGAGTGCCAGCCTTTCTCTGTCCCCGGTGGCTGGTGCTGATACTGAGGTTCCTCGTGACATTTCTTCGCTTCTTACTCCAATGGGAGTTTGCAAGAGGGAGTTAAATAGATGTGCTCAGGTTACCACCTTGAACCAGCACCTGATAGTGGATTTTCAAGGTTAAAAGTGCCCTCCAGCCCTCCCCAGTCTGGTTCAGTGGATAGAGCGTTGGCCTGGGGACTGAAGGGTCCCGGGTTCGAATCTGGTCAAGGGCACATGCCCGGGTTGCGGGCCCGATCTGCAGTAGGGGGCGTGCAGAAGGCAGCCGGTCTATGATTCTGTCTCATTGTTGATGTTTCTATCTCTCTGAAATCAATACAAAAATACATTTTTTAAAAAGTGCCCCCCAGATGAAGGTTGTTGAGGAAAATAACTGGGAGTGAGCATTTAACAAAATGAAACCTGAGAGCAATTAAAGGGCAGCACGAGTAGAATTCTGTCGAGAGGGATTCTGTTGCTCACCACCTGCCAACCCTCAAAAAACGCTACCAGTTTCCGGGAAGAAAGGAGGACTCTCCCTGCTGCCAGTAGGGGGAGCTGGGCGCTAGCAAACGTGAGCAGGAGCCGGGCGGGTTCCCTTGGGCCGCTGCTCCGAAGGTGGGTCCCTGAGAGCCCCGTGACCGCCCCTCGCCCCCCTCCTCCAGGGTAAGTGGCGGACAGATGGTGGGGTGCAGCTGGCCTGGACTTGACCAGCTTCTAGCCTTTCTGATTCTTGCGTTCTCGTATTTCGCTCCAGCTCTTCGCTCTGCCAGGCGTGAATAAATCATTTAGAGCAGCGGTTCTCAACCTTCCTACTGCCTCGACCCTTTAATACAACTCCTCATGTTGTGGGGACCCCAACCATAAAATTATTGTCGTTGCTACTTCATAACTGTAATGTTGCTACTGTTATGAATCGTCATGTAAATATCTGATAGGCAGGATGTATTTTCATTGTTACAAGTTGAACATCATTCAAGCATAGTGATTAATCACAAAAACAATATGTAATTATATATGTGTTTTTCGATGGTCTTAGGCGACCCCTGTGAAAGGGTCGTTCGACCCCCAAAGGGGTCTCGACCCACAGGTTGAGAACCACAGGTTGAGAACCGCTGATAGAGGCTTGCAGCACAGCCTCTCAGCAAACAACTCTTTTCTAAGCATTTGCTCTTGTTTCCTTTGGCATTTGAGTCTCCCGGAGACGGGTCGGAGGCCCGGGGCGCCTGCAGCCTGATGCGGGCTGGGCTTGGAGACTTGCATGAGGGTTTTTTAATCTTGTTGTTGAACAAATGATAGATAGCATGCTGAAGACAGCGGTCTTAAAGACAGTTCTGGAAATGCAAACATAGTAAACACCAAGCGAGCACAACGCTTTCTGGAAATGCTTCCTGGTGGCTCCATTCTGTATCCAGCTACTGTCCTTCGTTAGATGGTCACCAGCATTGACCTGTAATCCACGCCATCGCCAATCCTAGTGACCTGGACGGCAAGCCTGCCCACTTCGCCCACCCCCACGGCCGCTGCACAGTCAGGCCTCCAGCCCCT